TCAACATAATTCCTTAGTTCAATAGAATAGAGGAAAACCATATATGAACTCAGTAGAGGCAGAAAAGCTATAGAATAATATTCAATATCCATTTGTGATAAACATTATTACTAAATAAGGAAAATGAGGGAACCCCTTCCTTAATCTGATAAAGGATATCTAAAATAAATGTACGACAGTATTATATTTAATTGTAAAATGTTGAAACTTATCCATTTGGTATTTGGAATAAGACTAGCATTCCTGCTATCTGTACTTATATTCAACGTTGTACTCAAGGTCCTAAGCAGTGTGGTAAGGCCACAAAAGGACAAAAAGTAGGACTCCAAAATCAAATTCACTGTCCTCGAGTTGATTCTGACTCTTAGTGACCCTACAGAACTGAGCAGAACTGCCCGATAGGGCTTCTAAGGCAGTAAATCTTTACGAAGCAGACTGCCACATCTTTCCCCCACTGAGAAACTGGTGGGTTCAAACTGCCAACCTTTCAGTTAGCAGCTGAGTGCTTTAACCACTGCACCACAAGGGCTCCTTACTAGGTAGGCTTAGGAAGAAATAAATAAAACTGTTATTATTCACAAATAATATGGTTGTGTATATAAAAATCTAAAAATGTTTACAGGTAAATTATTAGAATTAATATGTGAAAGCAAGTATGTAGACAAAAAGGTATCCAAAACAATGTCAAAATATCAAATATCTAAGAATATGTCTTGGATTGACACAGTGGCTGTAATAATGGGCTCAAACATAGCAATGATCGTGAGGATGGTGTGGGACCAGGCAGGGCAGTGTTTCGTTCTGTTGTACATAGGGTTGCTCAGAGTCAGAACTGACTTGAAGGCACTTAACACCAACAACAACAAAAAGAATATGTCTAAGAATAGATGTGCAAATTGTCTGGGCAGAAAACCATAAAAAAATCATTGTGACAAATTAAAGATACAAATAAGTGGAAGGATATAGCAATTTTATGGATAGGGAGTGTTACTATTTCAAAATATTATTTCTCCCCAAATGGATTTATAGATTCAATACAATTCAATCAAAATCCTAGCAGATCTTTGTAGAACTCGAAATGCTAATTCTAAAGTCAATAAGTCAATCCTGAAGAAGAAGAACAAAATAAAAAGTCTTGTTCTACTGAATATTATGACTTGTCATAAATCAGTAATTAAGGCAATGAGATATTGGCATAAATACTCCATAAATAAACTAATGGACTAGAAGAGAGAGCCCAGAACAGACCCATGGATAGATGGACAACTGAATTATGACAAAGGAGGCACTGCAAAGTTGTGTGGAAAGAATGATTCTTTCAATTAACAGTGCTGGCACAATTATCTATTTATACAAAAAATAAAACAATCTATGTTTCACACAATTGGAAAAAAAATAAATCCTAGATGGATCACAGATTTAAATGTGAAAGGCAAAACAATAAATTTCTTGAATATATGAGGAAAGACTTCTAAGCAGGATGTTAAAAAAATCATAAAAAGATAAATTTGACTACATTACAATCAAGAACTTCTGTTTATTAAAAGATACCATTAAGAATTTGAAAAAAGCAAGCCACAGGATGGGAGAAGATATTTACAAAACTTATGAATCAGAATCGACTCGATGGCAACGGGTTTGTTTTTTTTATAACCAACAAAGAGTTAGTAATCAGAATATAAAAAGAACTCCTAAAAATGATTAAGAAAAAGACTAACAATCCATCATAAAAATGGACAGGAGACTATCAGAATAGTTCAATAGCATTAGCATTAGGAAAAGTCAAATTTTGCAGTAACATACACTATATAATCATCAGAAAATCTAATGTGAAAATTCAAGTAATATACTAATTTCCAATAATGTGAAGAAGTGAGAATCTTTATGCATTGCTGGTGGCAGTGGAAATTGGCAGTATCTACTAAAGTTGAGAGTCAGTGGAAAAACAGGAAGACCCTCAATGAGATGGATTGACACAGTGGCTGCAACAATGGGCTCAAACATAGCAACAATTGTGAGGATGGCGCCAGACTGGGCAGTGTTTTGTTCTGTTGCACAGAGGGTAGCTATGAGTCAGAACCGACTTGATGGCCCCTAACAACAACACTAAAGTTGAACATACACATACCATGACCTCACAATGTCTCTCCAGTATATTCCCTACAGAAATGCATGCATATGTACAACCAAGAGATGTATACAAGAATGCTCACTGCAGCATTATTGATAATAGTAAGAAGCTGGAAACAGCCCAGATGGCTACATACAGTAGAACAGATAAACAGATCGTGGTGTTTATATACAACAGAAGAATGAAAGAACTAAAGCTACTTGCAAAAGCATGGGAGAATATTACAAGTACAATGTAAAGGGAACAAAGTCAAGCACAAAAGGGTGCATCGTGTCTGATTCCATTTACATAAAGGTAAAATCCAGAGGAAAGAATCTATCGTGTTTAGGGATAGGAACTTAGATGGCTAAACTATAAATAAAAATAAGGACTGGATTACTATGAAACTGCATTGGGGGAGGGGTATGAGAAGTGCTTTTTATTTCATGACTTGACATCAGTGTGTTTGCCATACATCTTTGTTTTGTGAATGTTTTTTTCTGTGTGCATTACCTTTCCCAATATAAAGGGTTAAGAAGTTTGATTTGATAAGGAGAGGGAGGGATGAAGGAGGGCACATTTTCCACGAGGGGTGGGAAACACTGGGATCTCTGAATGAGGAGACAGGAAAGGGAGTTGCTAATAGGCCCAGGGTGGGGGAGGGGCCAGGAAACAGCTTCCTTCTCAATTTTAGAGGTTCAAGTAAAAAGGAAATGACAGTCACCCGGCGGAGGACCTGCTGTTTGGTACCAAGATATCTGCCTTCTTATAGTTTCAAAATCCTTACCAGTTGTGGGGAGAGAAATCTCCTTTTTTAACTTTCCCTTTGTTAGAAAAATGCCTCTGTCTTTTCTTAGGCTGTAGTAGGTCTGACAGTGTTCTGCACCTTTTATTACCGCATAATTCTTCATTTAGAATCATTTCTTGTAAACCTCTTGGATACGAAAGCTAGTTCTTTTGTTGACTTGTTTCAAAAATGTGAATGAGCTAATTCTAATAATTCTTGGTACAGATCTTCAAGGTATCACTGGGAGTAAATTCATTGTTTAAAGCCAGTCGACAACACACAACCGTTTAGTTTGCATTCCTTAGAGACTTGTTCTTTCCCTTTTTTCCTCTGTGGTGACTGCAGGATTTATAATTTTTACCCATGGGGTTAGAGGAGGAGCATAAAGCCTGTAAATGGATACCCCTTGGACTTTGACTAAATGGGAGAAAAGAATTTGAATGCCTGGATAGGAGAGACACAATTATGATTCCAACCAATGAATACTCTTTCTCGGGTTAAAAAATTACCCTGTGAAGTGGAGCAGGATACACTATTGGCAGATGGTATTTCCAGTGATTCTAAAAATACATGCAATTTCCTTCTATCCTTTCTCCAACAAAAAAAAGAGAGAGCCTACTGTGTGTGGGGATGGGGAGGGAACCTGCTTCAGCTATTGACTCACCCTGATATTACAATTCTCAAACGGTATAATTTTTAGAGAACTGTTTGCAGAAGAGTTTTGGATGAAAATAGGAATGATGATGATGATGATCAGAGTTTCTTTCTTTCTTTAGTTCCAGTTATTTGTAAATACATTAAAAAACGAAACAAAAATACAAGTTACCCTCGACTGATTCTGACTCATGGTGACCCCATGTGTGTCAGAGTAGAACTGTGCTTCATAGGGTTGTCAACAGCTGATTTTCAGAAGTAGATCACCAGGCCTTTCTTCCAAGGTGCCTCTGGGTGGACTTGAGCCCCCAACTTTCAGTTAGCAATAGAGTTTGCACCACCCAGAGACCTGATTTTTATTTTGCTGGAATGACCTCAATGTATCTGTGTACTTTTACATTAAACTTACTTAAAATTCACATGTAGAATCCAGGCCATAAATCAGGGAATAGGATGTGAGTGAGGTCTTTGCCTGGCACACAGTGTCAGCAAGTGTTAGCCATCAGCATTATCCACCACCCTGGCAGTTTGAGTCCACCAGCCGCTCCTTGGAAACCCTGTGGGGCACTTCTACTCTGCCCTACAGGTGGCTAAGTTGTAATCCACTCGATGGCAATGGGTTTGGTTTTGGGTTTAGGCGTTAGCAGTGTTTGGTGCCATGGTTGAAGGATGGAAGAATATGGTGGGGTTGGGGAGTTGTAGGTTTTTTCAGGAGGCAGTGTTTGCCTTTCCCTTGGCAGAGGTTGTGGAGGTTAAGAAAACCTGGTGAAACAGATGCCAGGGACATATGTTACCTAATTTGGTCAAAGAACAAAGAGTGTGCTTAACATTTGGAAATTCTCAAGTGCGCACTGGAATGGGGGCACTGACTGAAGAGCAGAAACAGAAAATCATTCCGAATTTCAGAGGAGGCAGGAGTACTGCCTCTTACAGGGAGAGCATAGTGCAATTATTATTTCAAATAGTCTGGGTTTTTGAGATGGAAGCCTCTGGGTTGGAATCTTGGCTGTACCAGCTACTAGTGCTGCGTGGTGCAAGGTACTCTAAGGCTTTGAGCCTGTTTCCTTACCTGTAAAATAATCTAATTTATAGGGTAAACACCTAATTTATAGGGCTATTGTGAGGGTAGGATAGAACAGGCATAGTAGGGAGCTGAAAATTAAAGTAAAAATTAATAATTTCCCTAATTCCAAAGACACTTCCAGGTTTTACTCGTGCTTTACCAAGAATTGTCAAAATCTCAACACAGTTTTCTAAAATGATTGTACTCTCTGCTCCCTCCCCGCCCCCATTTTGGCGGCGGAGAGGATGGAAGGAGAGGCACGTGGGGGAAGGACCCGGGCAAATTTAGCCCCCGGGACCCCTGGCCTCCTGGCACAGTGGGGCCTGTCATGGCAGCTCGTAGAAATCTTAGGTGACTTCAGATACCAGAGCTGGAAGAATGGAAGGGTCTGGGGGTCGGCGTGGCCCAGACCCCTACCCTGCCTGCGGTCGGCAAAGCAAGCCTAGCGGGAGCACAGGCTCACCTCGGTCCCCGCCTCCAGCTGCGCGGGGCTCGTCCTGACTTTGGGCTCAGCCAGTTGCTCTGGCGCCCACCTGGGGAGGCGGCGACCCGGCCTCGAGCGCCGACAGCTGGAAGCCCCGGCGCGGGCCGCCCGGGACCGACGCCAGTGCCGCCACGCGCCCCGAGCCAAGCGCGGGGCGGGCCGGGCGCTCGCGCACCGTCCTAACCCGCTCCGCGCCTCGCCCCGCCGCCCTCGGCCCCCACCCACCGGCCGCTCCTCCCCTCTCCCCACCCTCCTCCTCCGCCCCCTCCCTTCCCCCGCCGCCTCGCAGACTGCTCGGCCGCGCGTCTGAGGCGCCCGGGCCCGGAGCGCAGGCGGCGAGGCCACCGCACCTGCCGAGTGCTCTGGCTGCCTGAGTGGCACCTCACTGCCCGCCGGCGGATTCCCTTCTCCCCCCGCGCCGGGTCGCCCATGACGTCCGAGCCCACCGGCCGGCGACAATGACCACTTCCCTGCAAGATGGGCAGAGCGCCGCGGGCAGGGCGGCTGCTCAGGATTCGCCGCTGGCGGTCCAGGTGTGCGACGCTGCCCAGGGGAGGGGCGACTCCCGCGACCTGGCGCCAGCCCCCTGGTTGCACGCGCCCGCGCTCCTGCCCCCTCCGGATGGGACCCGCGGCTTTGCTGCAGACAGGTAGGCAGCCCTTCGAGGGCGCGGGGGAGTGTCCTGGGTTGGCAGCCCGCAAAGGGGTAGGAGGCGGTCCTAGGGGGTGAGCCATGTGCCCAGAGCTGGGCCAAGTTTGTGAAAGTCTCTGAAGACAATTCCCTTTGAGCTGGCTCCTACCGGATCAGCAGGACATTGCGATCTCACAGTGCCTTATAAATAGCATCACTGTTTCATTGAGAGCTCTCGGTCTCTCTTGCCTCTGCCTATCGGTGTGAATTAGGAGGCCAAGCTCCAGGTTGACCACCCGCTCCTACTTTTCTCCTTTGTAGTCCTGCATTTAAAAAAAAAAAAATTCTTTTTATTTTGTTTTTTATAAAAATCGTAGCATAAATGAGTTCACCTCCCACATAGAGTCTTACAGCGACCCAGGAGAAGCAAAACACTGGATTGACATTTGAGCAGTCTTGCTGTTCAGCAGCAAAGAATAGAGTCTTTAAAAGGTTTCCCAATCTCCATAGCACTAAGTGCCTTTAGAGTTCACGGTTTTGTACATACTTTAGGAAAGAAAAAGACTTCAACAATACAAAAGTCTATAGTCCTTTATATTCATAATTTAAATGGTACTTTTTTTTTTTTTCAGATTTTCAAAGTGCTCCAACTTCACTGAAGTTAAAATTACTCTCCAGTGGACTAGAGTACATTTATACTAGCAAGTTCCATTAACTTACCTCCTCAAAAACACTGCCTTGCTGTTTAGTACCTATAAGCACTTGAAAAATCAACAGACTGTGTGTGGGCAACATTGTGAATGAAATTTGAAGTGAGATGAACCACAGCTATAATTAATAAGTCATAACTTCCAGAAGTGATTAGTAAAATATTATTGGGAAGAATTCACTAAATGAAACTTATACTTTGCTATTTTCATGGATACATAATAATATCTTCCTCAGAACGATTTTTTTGCATTAATAATTATACAGTTAATGTTTACAATTTAGGAAAATTTTCAAAAGTACTGGAAATGGAGCTTCTGTATCTGGTGATTTTTTTTAAAGGCAAGAAAAAAAAAAGATAGGAATACTATAGAATATTTTTTTGGTATCAGTATATTTTAATTTGACCCAAAGAAAGTACTTGCAGACCTTTTCTGTATACTTTATATAACATTAGCACTGTACATGTTGGCCTTAACACACTTTTCAGTCCTGACAGCAATTATATTTTACATTCTGTTTTATGTAAATTACCTCCTATGTTCTCTTGGTGTAGGAGAAAAAAGAAAGAGCTTGATGTTCTGGAAATGCCATCTATTCCAAACCCTTTTCCTGAGTTGTGCTCTTCTCCATTTACATCTGTTTTGTCAGCAGGCCTGTTTCCCAAAGTAAATGCAAGGAAAAAACAGGTATGCATTTTAAAATGTTCTCATTCAAAAATCTTAGGAATTTTAAAATCATACAGTCTAACAATATTCAGAAAGGATTAGTATGGCTTATGGTAAATCACTGTGTTGACTAGCACAGTTCTTTGGCATTATTTTCGTCGATTTTCACATCTGTATAATAAAACCCATTGCCATCAAGTCGATTCTGACTCATAGTGACCCTATAGAACAGAGTATAACTGCCCCATAGGGTTTCCAAGGAGCGGCTGGTGGATTCAAACTGCTGTCCTTTGGTTAGCAACCGTAGCTCTTAACCACTGCGCCACCATGGGGATATTAAAATTTAACTTTTACTGTTTTGGGATGGGTTAAAAGAGAATATACGTAAAACACAATGCCTGGGAACTATTATCATTCACAAGGTTGGTGGGAACGTTATACATGATAACAGACTACCAATTTTAAGTCAGCAGTAAGGGAAGCGGGGAGTGGTGTTAGTGGGTGAGAAGAGGATTGACTGATTCCTTTAAACCTTCACATTAGTCAGGGTTATCCACAGAAACAATACTGATAGATATACATAGAGAGAATAAAAGGAGAGAGAGAGAGAAATAGACTGAAATTTATTTTAAGGAATTGGCTCATGTCATTGTTCGGGCTGGCACATCCAGAATCCATAGGTCAGACAACAGGCTGGAAACTCTAGAAGTCTTGTGTCTGTAATTGGTAGACCAGGTGGTGGGCTGGAAACTCTATCTGGATATCTATCCATGTAGCAGTCTTGAGGCAGAATTTCTTCTCTAGGAAACCTCAGTTTTTGCTCGTAAGGCCTTCAGCTGATTGGATGAGGCCCATCCACATTATCACGGGTAATCTCCTTTACTGAGAGTCAACTGGTTGTAAATATTAATCATATCAACAAACTACCCTACCGGCAACATCTAGATTAGTGTTTGACCAAACAACAACTGGACACCATAGCCTAGCCTAGTTGACACGTAAAATTAAACATCATAACCTTCATTAATCTTTGACATTCTCAACCCAAGCCAGCCTCACCTTACTGAAGGAAAGGGATATAGTGAATCTGTAGCAATAGGTAATTGGAGTTTAGGACTGGACATGTCTTCTTTATTTCAGTGAATTCCTCAGTTTGGAGGCTTCTGACTACAAGAAAGCAGATGACTTGTAAGTGATGGTTGGAAGATGGACTTTATTTTTATGATCTCAAGTTTCTAGTTTGGACACTGACTTAAGCAATTTAGATTTCAAGGAAGAAAGGACCGAACAACTATGGGGAGTTCCATCATAATTATACATTTTGAGGGGAAAAAAAAAGTCAGTGTATCCTAGCATGATCCATATCTAAACATGCTTTCTCTCGGTTTTGAGCTAGCAAAACAAAGAAGGACTTCACTAGGGAGTATGCACCTTGTTCTTATAAAAGCAATAAATTTAAACAGCCAGATGCTTATAGTGAGGAGGGGGATGAGGAACACAGTGGAAAGACAATGGATCATTTCCCTCCCCTGCTACATGTATTGTTCTGTTTCTTTTTTCTGCAGCGTTACTACCACCACTGTGTGAGTTCATAGATGTGTGTTTATATTTTTAGGAATGGAGGAAATGGTCTAGGAAAAAAATGAATTCTTGATAACATACAGCAATAATAGAGGCAGCAGGGAAGCATTACATGGAATGTTGTGTTTTGTGATGGAAGTTTGATGTAGCAAAGTGTATATACTTTTTTTGGAGGGGTGGAGATTGAAGTCTAATTGGTGAATGTGTTTTTGGATAAGGATTGGAGAAAGTAGGAGTAAATATCCCAAGAACAGAGGTATGTTCTGAATCAGACTGCCGTGGTGGAGGCACACCCTTAAATGGGTGGGACTGTGACTTTGGATAGTGGGATGGACAATGGGGAGATTTTCTTGAGAGCTTTGTTATCAAGGCAAGGTTAAGAGTTAGATCCCAAGGAACAATCAGCCCTGGTAAAATGTCCAGGCTCTTTCAGAGTTTATCTTTGGGTTAGAGTAGGAGATGGGAATAGGGTGATAGATCTGATTGCGTGCAATGGTGGTGGAGAAAATCAGTTCTGGATTGTCCATGTGACCCAGAGTAGAAAAAGGAAATATCGGATAATGACAAAGTATTTATTTGGGGAATTTAATAGATTATTCCATGCTTATGGAGGGCCTGCTATGTTCCTTGTACCATCCTAGGCACTGAGGCATTGAGCTAACCAAAGATGCCATCTGAGGGGTATTTACCAAGGCAGGGCTTTGATTTGGGGTTGGGTTAGGGAAAAATGATGAAGGCGGAAAGAGGAATAGCAGAGACGTCTAGGCTGACTGTCAATTTAATTTGGTGAATGGACACTGGGAAAATGTCATGTCCAAGTTTCTTTTCATGGGGTAGGGCTTGTTTTGAGTAGAGACAAAATAGGTGTTGGTATGCTTTGTCAATAGAGGGAGAAAAAAGAGAAAGAGAATGGGTGATGTGTCAGGGTTAAGGTAGGGTAAGTTCTGAGTGTAGACAATCCTCTTAGAGTAACACATCTTGGGGAATGGCAACATGTCTTCAAATCACATTTAGTAAATGGGTAAAATGGGAAAAGGATGATACATTATTATTGCCTCTGAACAGGTCTCCTGTTCTGGCCTCGTATCCTGGTTCCACAGTGACCGTCTCAGAGAGCAGTGCTGCCACACAGCCAGCCTTGCTGTTTCGTGAGCGGCAGTTCTGGCTTGACTCCTGGGGACCAGTCCCGGAGGAGTGTTTCTAACCTTAGAAAACCTGTTCCTGCTGAACTCTTCCTTGGCCTGAAGGTTGGAGTCTCTATGAAGAGAAGGGTATCCCAAAGTTGGGGAGGAGGAAGTTTCCCTTTAAAATTCTTTTATGTTCCCTTTAACCTCCACCTTGACTTTGCATTGAGAACGGATCCTTTTGTTTTCACTCCTTTATACATACACACTCACTTTTTGGGCCCAGTGAGGTTTTGAGAATTGACAACTCTGTCAGTAATTTCCCCAAGCCCAGTATCTTTTTTATACAGAGTACCCTCTTATAAGATGGTATTTCTGGCCAAATTATCCCTGCCCTTCGGTTGAGGTGGTATAAATGACTGTATGTGATGGGTCTACTGAATATTATTTATGGTTGAAACACTATAGGAGAAGATGTGTCTTTTCTTATTCTCTCTTTCATTTTGTTTCTTTATCCATTCTAGTCATTTTAGCAGCTCTTTCTTTGCCATAGAAAAAGTGAAGAACGACATTCGTTATTTACAAATAAATTACCAGAAAGTTTGAAAGAATGCAGAATAAAAATGCTAAATTTCATCTAGCCTTTCAAAACCAAAGTCAAAAATCATTTTACAGGCCATAAATATTTTTTTACAATTTAAGATGGCTACATAATGCATGAGTGGTAAAGTGCATTGAAGCCAAAAATAGGATACGCTTTAGCTCTTTTTGCGAATAAAATACTCCAAAGTATACAATACTGTAGGCTTTCAGTATTTTTATTTTAAAATAAGAGCTAGAATGAGATAGAAACTGGTTTCTTTTCTCTCAATTCTTCTTTTTATAATACTGGCCAGATCTATTTTTTAGGAATAGCTCTTTGTATTTACCAGTAAAGCAGATTTAAGTATACCTTTCTTTATATAGGTGGCTCAGAAAAGTTACTTACAATTTAAATTGTGTATTACAAGTGACTTACCTTGAATTTAATGAATCTTGATTCATTTTTTATCTAATTTATGATTGAAATTAATCGGGAAATAATTTCTTAGCAATGAGCTGTAAAAATCTATTATTTGAAGCAAGGATAAGAGTAAGAGATCTTTTATCCATTATGGCAGATTCAGTTCTTATATCAAGTTTGTCTATCCCTAGGTAATTTTTGGGCTTGGAAACAGTTTATGTAGTAGCTGTAGTTAATTACTTCCCAAGACTAGTATATCTAATTCAGGATAAACTCTCAGAAGGTTTTAAAGATAGAGAATTTACGAAGAACTGGGCATTGTGGAATGTTCGAGCTGGAAGAGATCTTTGAGATCATCTAGTCTAATAGTCTTCTTTTACAGATGAGTAAATTGAGTCTAGGAGTCTCTGGGTGGCGTAAACAGTTACGTGCTCAGCTACTAGTCCAAAGGCTAGTGGTTTGAACCTACTGAGAGGTGCCTCATAAGAAAGGCCTGGCAGTCTGCTTCGAAAGGTCTCAACTATGAAGACCCTGGGAAGAGCTCTACTCTACAACTCATGGGGTTTGCCATGAGTCGGAATCAACTGTACAGCAACTGGTTTGGTTTTCGTTTTGGTTAAATTTAATCAAAGAAGTGCTATGTGGCTGATGGCAGCATAGCCAGAGGCGTAGACAGACAGTTTTTAAAAAGGTACAATTTCAAAAGAAACTGGGAACTGTAAGAGTAGTACAAGTAATAAACTTATGTCAGTGTTGTTAGTCACAACTCTGTCCATAATCCAAGAAGAGCAGGGTGACGTTTATTTAACATTCATCTGAGGACCTGGAGTTTCTCATTCTTTTCCCTTCCTCAGCTGTCACTTTGTGTTTTTTCTTCTAGTTCTCTTTTCCAAAAATTGATAAAAAAATATGTTAAATAATTGGTTATAACATCCAGTAGGATTTATTTGTATTACCAATGACTAGTTTTTATGTATAGTTTATAGTCCGTAGGATGTTGTTATCTCACACTACCACCAGGAAGTGTGTCTGTCATCCCCATTTTAAGTGTTAAAAAAGGAAGTGCAAAACTGGAAGTGATTTTCCCATGGTTCCACAGTTTAAATAGAGAGCAAAAAGAATATCATGTTTCAATAGGCTTTGCCCCTCACTGTACTGTTTCTAATCTCTTTATTGAACTAAGCCTTTTCGTATATCTCTCAGAAAAATAAAAAAAAACTTTCAAATAATTAGGAAATTACTTCTTAATACGTTTAGCCTTTGATTTCTTTTTCCTCTTGCATGTCAGAGACTATTAAAGGATAAGTAGATCT